CACGGTGGTGAGTCCGTCAAATTTCTCATTCCACATGTGGCAGCAGAACCTCCCCAAGGTTAATGACACACCTTGAATCCCAGCACTCCCTTTACCAGGAGGGGCTGCCTTCCTATTCCAGTGCTCCTGTGACCCAGAGGCTGAACAGAGGAAAGACACTTACCCTTTGCTGTGGTATTACTTGGAATCAACCTGTTCCCTTTCCTAACACATCTGTCGCCCTTCCATGCAGCACCCTGGTCACTAACCACTTCTGCAGGCTTTCCATGCTTGTTTCTCCCACACTATTAAAACATGAGCACAGCATCATGGGGAGCATGTGATGGATTTCTGTAACAGCAATATTGTTCTCTCCCTGTCTTTTCATATAAATGAGTTCAGCCTCCTTCTGCCACCCGGTGACCCGTGCAGCCCAACTTGCCCACAGCAGCACTGAGGCCTCTCCTCCACTTGCCAAGTTACACTCAATTTAGTGCTCAGCAACACAGGGGAGAAGCTCAACGCGTTTATTCCAACAATTGCACAATGGCCACAAGGTTAGGAAAAAACCTTCCCTTTTGCTCAGGGAGACGTGATGCAATTTAATACTTTCTGATGTGTGATTCTGTAGGAGGTCAGAGGGGCCAAAGGACACTTGCCAGCTCCCTGGCTTGTCAAGGTAGGTTTGTCAAAAGTGCCATATGAGAGCTGGGGGGGCAGGGGCATCTCTTCTCTTTGTACATCTCCAAAGAGACAAAGCTTTCTCCAAGCATTTCTGTAACATGACCATATCTCCAACACCCTCCACCCCTCATCTATCCCAAATATGCAGGATGCTTTCTGCAACTCTTTTGCAACATCTTGAATATCACATAATTTAGTGAATTCCTACAAATTCCCATGGCATTTTCTTAACCCTGTGTTGCACAGACCATGGGGTTACCATACCATTTTGCCAGCTCATCTTATCACCAAGACACCATGGATCAGTTCATAATCCATCAGTCTTGGGAAAGGTTTACATAAGCCATCTGCCTGTGCAATGTAACCTGCACAGTGTTTCTCTGCTCTCTTGACTTCTTTCTGAAATGCACTGAAACCACTGCTTGGAAACACAGACATGCCACCTTATCCTCAGAAAGCCCCATTCCTGAAGCTGCGCATTCCCTAATGTAACCCAACTGCTGCTCCGAGCAGAAAGACAAACCATCCAAGGAACCAAATGTCTCAAGCACTGCCAGGCAAGGAGAAGAAACCACACAGAGAGGCAGCCACAGCCTGGCCACACAGAGGGCCAGCCACAGCCTAGGCCCCAGAAGCAAGGGCCACCAAAGCCAGCGAATCTGGCACCTTCCCTGCCACCCAGCCATGGCCACCCCCCAGCAGTCACACCCTGTACCCCCCACAGCCGCTCCCACTGCACCCAAACCCCCCGTGCCAGGAGCCCGGTGCTCCCGTGGGCTCACACATCTCATGCCACATCCCCCATCCCATCCCAAGGCCCCATTCCCTGCTCCAGGCCGGAGCCTGCTGGTACCACCAGCAGACCCGGCACCACCAGCAGGCCCAGCACCTTCAGCCCCCCACGCCCTACACCAGCCACCTCAAACCCCGAATTACCCCGCAGCCCTCGCCCCAGCCCCCAACACC